GGCGGGAAGATTGATGATGTTAGTGCGACCCGTGGAGGGGAGACCCACCCAGACATCAGCAGCCGTCAAGAGGCCGACAAGGCCACGCCCACAAGTGCTTAGATTCTCTGTTTATGGCAGTGCGTTATAATAATAGACACGTGTACGGAGCGGAGGCCGGAGTCACAGGCCAAACCACAGCCACCTGCTGGACCACAACTGGGATCATCTCCACTGAACAGACACAGTCAGAGGTTCTCGACAGGTGGAAGCCCCAACGCTGGATCCTGGTTTTACTGTCGGGTTTTTGCTTCAACTTCTTTCTTCTTACAAACAGATGCAGATGCTGAACCAGTTTAGTTTAGCATTTCTGTCTTTGTTTTCTCATACAGACTCAGGATTTGATGATTTCTTGATTGGTGCCATTTTAATTTATATTTATTTATTTTTTCATGACAAAATACTTAATCTTAATAAATTGGTGTACAGTGTCGTTTTGGCTCCAGATAAACAAACTTTTAAGAATTCGTGTTTTTAGTCTTTCTAAATTCAAGCTTTTTGTTTTTTTCTACATCTTGAACTCTTAGTTACGTGTCTGTAATTTCCTTTTACATTGAGACTCAAAAAGAAAAGTAAACCAAACAGACCAAAGTATTTTGAACTGATTAAATCATTTGTTGTTTGCTTATTTTAACTTGGCGGCAGAAAAGAGAATTCCACTGCTGGTCGTCTCTCTCTCTTTTTTTTGTAACATTAAACAGTTAATGACAATAAAACCTTGAACACAGTATCTTCAGGATGTGACACCAACTTCCTTCGTATAATTATTCTTAATTATTTATTAGTCATGTCATAAATGTTTACATTTGACATGGCTAACTTTAGCTTAAAGCTAACAGTAGCCGACTTAGCCTTTACTAAAAAACCTTTGTTATTTATTCTATTTATTTTATTGGTAACTTTATTATTTCTGATATAGCCTATAATAATGTATTGTTTTTAGCATTTTTTTAATTATTACCACAAGAAAAAAAAGTTGAAATATAGTTAGATAAGAAACGAAGGCATCTTTTTTGCAGCGTTGATGCTAATTGTCCAAATCAAACCTGTCTAACAGCTGCTGGGATTCAACCGTCTGTCTGACCTGCTGCGTGTTCCTGCACGTCTACATGAGACAACATCTGGGAGACAGACTGGAATAACTGTCTGACTGGAGTGTCTCCACTTCTTTTGTGTCTGTCTGTCCCCCGTCACGTGTTAAGACGGATTGGCCAAAGTGGTCTTTGACGGACAGCTCGGCCGGCCCCCCTGTGGGCAGGAGTGATGGACGAGATTGAACAGGATGCGCGCTCTCCTTCCCTGTGACTCCACGGTTCTGTCTCTACCTACCAGGGGTGACCCCCCACCTGTCCAATCACTCAGGGACCACTGTGGCCCCGACACACGGCTCCCCGGTGAAGGAAATGGCGGCTGAAGACAGCTCGAATGGACAGGAGACACGATGACTAACGGCTGTGAGGAGTGACGGACTAATGATGTACTTACAAACTGTGTGGCACAGGAAGTCCGGGCACAGCAGGAGTAGAGGGAGATGTCGCCGACAGGAAGAGGAAGAAACAGAAAAGAGAAAAAGAATCAAACTTTCACATCTTGACTTCTGAGCCACTTCCAGTTAAAAGCCACTGTTTTTTTAGTCAATATCAAACAAAAAAAAACCACCTGATCCCAACAAACGTTTGGTCAGAACAGGAAACGGTTTAGTCTTTCCTGGGATGAAGAGTAATCCCTTGAGTCCTGGTCCAACATGTGGCTTAAGACCAGGCTGTTTGGAGAACTTTGTTATCGTTCGGTTCTGGACGGTTAGAATACTAAAACTGTCCATAATCTCAGACACTGCCTTGGATTTGAGCTTGTCCTTCTCACGAGTCTTTCGACTTTTTTTTGATGGCTGTTTATCTCGGCGCATCATCAGTGCAGAGGAATCCACCTCTGCAGCAGAGGGAAAGGCCGAAGGGCTACAGGGAACATCAAAGAGGCCTGAAGGCGACTAAGCACCTTCCCAGGGACACAACCGGCATTGTTCTACAATTAATCCCAGCCTGCTCTATTACTTTCAGATTATCTTTAAGTGGGTGAAGTCTTTGTGGGGCATTAAGACTCTCCTTAATCCCCAACCACCAGCCTCCATCTCCCTACACTTCAATGGCAGCCGTGCTATCTTGTCCGGGTGGGGATGGCAGAGGCTTAGGGCCACTCTTAGAAGGTGGTCCGCCGGGGCCACAGGACAGTGTGAGAACTGTGACACAGGGGAGGGACAACAAACATGAGCTCAAATCTCTTAAGCGCACAGGGAGACAAATGAAAGGATTTGGGTAGTGAGGGGGGGCTCAGGGAGTTGGGGGGGGGGTGGCACAGGAGCTAAAAAGCTATCTTTCATAATCCTTTTGATAGTGGACCTTTTGAAATGCATGATCTGAATGTTTTAACACAGGATTCTCAGAGTGCCATTAAAGGCAGAGTCTCGACGGAATGACCTCGCCGAGGCTGCGTGGTCTGATAGCCGGGGTTGAGCTCATAAATCAAGAATCAGAACGACACAGGTGACATTTGGGCAAAATGTCCAGGGAAATGTGTGGAGTGGTGGAACTTACCCCCTGCAGGAGTGATGGTCAAGATCACAGTCAGGAAGGGACAGAGAAAAACAAGTGATGTCAGTGAAAATCTAAAAACATCTAGTGACTGAATAATGACTTCTCCACAGATACTCACTGAGGTAAAGTCCTGGTTGGACCACAGCACCAGAAATAAGGGAAAAACAAACCAAAAATTAGTGATTTTTTTTAAACCATTAATACAATTGGTATTTTTTTTTTTGGTTTTTACATATTTTTTGACAATGGCCAATAAAAGGTCTTCTACTTTTTCATTTGTTTTTCTCAATTTTTTCCCATGTTTTTCTTCTTCTTTGTGATTTCTCCTTAATTTCCTTGTTCTACTACCTCTATCACCTCTTTTTCTTCATCATTCTATTTTTTATTAAATAAGCCAATAAAGAGGAACAGATAATTCTAACAATATACAAAAATTATAACACCAGAGGAACATCTCTTCAGGTGTAAACGCTACCTTCTTATTGGCCAGAGTTGGATCCTGTCTGAGCAGCTGAGAGAGGTCAGGGACCCTGGCCCCAGCAGCAGAGTAGATCCACTCCTTCTCTATGGGATCCAGCTGTACAGAGAGAGAGGGAGGGAGGGGGTTAAAATAACTGTAAAATAAAATCTTTTTGTATTTTTAATGTTTTTCTTAGACTTAAGTATTTCCCCCTGCTGATCAAAAACATTTTCCTGATTCTCATAAATTAATACGATTCTGAATAAAAAAGAAAAACAATAGTAAAACTGAAGTAAAATTTAAAAAAATCTGAAGGCATTGCCTTTGCAATTAAAAATGTTAATTAAAATGTCATAATTGTAGTTCACAACTGGAACTTCTCTTTCCAATTTCCAATTCCATCAACATGTCTCAGTTTTCACTCATTGGTTTTTTTTTAGTTCTGAAGCTTCATCTGTTATTCGTCCTCCAGGGGGGGATAAAAACTCACGGCGACTGCGGCCGAGCCCATGCTGCCTGTGCTCTCCTCGTCCTGCTCCGACTCAAACTGCAAGACAGAAAAGACACACAGACAGAAGTTCAGTAAATTAGTCATAACGTTCTCACACCCTGATCCCTCCTCACACACTCACTCACACACTCTGTGATGTTTTCCACCAAAGGGTGTCAGACAGAATGGGAGGTAATGAGACGTCGGTGACACTTTCACACAGGAGAGGTAATGAATAACAATCCAATTAACAGTCCAGCCAAAAACAACACACCTACAGCTGGAGCTGTGTGTCGTCTCCGTCCGCAGCTCCACAAACACGGCCCTTCAGCTGCGTACAGAGCCGTCACTTCGGCTGATTTATTTTTCTCCTGTGAGGAGAACGTGACGGCTAACGGCCGCTACCGTGGTACAGAGACGAGATGTTAAAACACCCAGAGCCTTTCATGTCTGTGACACACGTCACTGAGCCGAACACGGAGAGCGAGCGATCAACTTCTATGGACTAACATCCCAACAAAAACCTTCAACATTAGAATAACTATCCTTGAGTTGAAAACGTTTTGACTTGCAGGCCTCACTGGATCCTAAAATTTGATAGGGGGGCCGGCTTAGGGGCAGATAGATGCTGCGTTTGTGTAAACTAAAACAAATTACATGTAAAAGTCATGCAAAAGGCTAAGATGCTCTTAGCCAAACAGGCCATATCTGGTCCCCGGGACGTAGTTTGACCATGGCTGACCTCACGGGTATGTGCTAAAAAAAAAATCTTTAACATCCATGGGACGAATTGACTCACATTTTGTGAATTTATATACAAATAAAAACAGAAAAAAAAGTCGATTTGACTTGTCTGGTTCAAAGCAGCATTAGCTTTGGGTGTAAAAGTTGTTAGTTTCCTTATTTAAAATGTATTTTTTATAATACAAATATATTTAATTTTCTGTTCAATATATCTAAATACCATTCTCCTTTCAATACTTAATGTTCAATATTTTGTATAAAATTTAAAAGCCAAAAAAAAAAAAAAAAAATCATCAGTTCAACAGTGCCACTGATTTTCCCATAAGGCTTTGGGAGCCTGGACCTCACAGTTCACGGCCTGGTGTTGTGATTAATGGTGTTACCAGTGGCAGGTCGCTCCTGGGGACATGAATTCAAAGGTTCAGTGTTGTGACTAAACCCTTGAGCAAACACACTTCACCTCAGTGCTGTGCTGCAGGAGCTGCCGTTTCATCAGTGGGATTATTCCCAATTTATTTCAATGCTCACAAATGTTGATTATCTTTCTAATGAGCTCCAACATGTTGCTGCTTAACATGACAACACCGGCCTGATTCTGATGCAGATACAAGGCCATTTATTCCAAATTGTGCCCCACCCCCTTTCCTGCCCCCCCAATTTAAATTTCAATTCCAACAGCTAAAAGATCTAGGCAATTTACTCAGCACCACCTAGTGGGGAATAAGAGAAGCACGGGTCTATGTAAAATAGTGTTTGTTTGCTGGTGTTTGAGGTTTTTAGGGTTTAATAATTAGAGGCCATTGTTTAAAAAAAAAATGAATGCACGTTTAGAAAATGTAAGTTTTACAGTAACACAGGTTTGGGTTTTAAAGGACCATTGACCAAAGTTCTGGTCTTTGTAAGCAGTGACACACCTCTCTGTGCTACACTTCTTATCCTTTTTATCCTCCTAGTGGTGTGTAAAGGAAATTACAGGGCCAAGTGGCCACTGTTTCTGTCCTAATGGGCTAAAACGACCGATCAAAGGCCAAACATTCTGCAGCTCTCGTCTTGTTTTCCTCCTCTCACCACCTAGGTGTGGACACACCGTGTTTATTTTGAAGCCTGATTGTGCAAATTGTGCAAATTGTGCCTCAGTCCATTGAAACAGCAGTAGGAAAGGCAGGTCAGTGAAACACATCGGTTACCAAACTAGGGGGCAGGTCCCCCATGGTCTGCGAAGTTGATTTGTAATTTTTTGGTGAGAATATCAGTTTTTATTATTTTAATACAGTTCTTAACGATCCTACTGATAACAGGGGGCGCTCTAGGAAAACATTTGGGAACCACTGACATAACATATACATATAAATGCACTCATTGACTTTCCCTATTCTCAAACGCGGACTGGTTTTCCATCACGAACAAAGCCCCTCTGTGTGTCCGTGCCCCAGAGCTTTAATCAAATACTGAGAAAAGTCACCAGAGTGAACCAACAAAGGCAGCGTTGTTCAGACATAAACACAACACTTAAATAATGAGTTAACACAGTTGACTGGTGGAAGACTGAGCAAGCGCTCGCTCACTCTCAGTCACTCAGTCAGTCACTCACTCAGTCACTCAGTCACTCAGTCACTCAGTCACTCATACCTGAAAAACACATCTTCACACATATTCACCTCTGTGGCGTTCTCAGATTCTCCACATGACATGAGCTCATCCTGTTGTTCCATCGGTGGGGCAGCAGAGGTCGCGGGGTTCGTTGCGTCCCACTGTGCGGAGGGCGTCGACGCAGCTGGATCCGCATGTTTCTCTTCGTCGGTGGCGAGGGTCTTGGTGTCTCGCTCCTGCAGCAGCTGCCTGTATTTCTTCTTCAGAACCAGGAACTTTTCACCCTGAGAGAGAAGGAAATGTGTATAGTTGAACGACAAAAACTGCAGTAGCAATATTTGTCAATATTTGTCTGATTCACACCATAAGTTAAGTTATTATTTATTAATTAGCATTGCTAAAAGAAAATAGTTAGTTAGCATGATTTCAACCGGCTGTAGACTGAAGACCATGGGTCTATTAATGTTTTCCTCCATTTGATTGTGTGTTTTTTTAGCTTCTTCCACAAAAGGTCAAAGTATTCTGATATTCTGATACTCACATTCTCTGACTTCACCACAGCGATGCGGTCAATGATGAGCTTGAATTCCTCTCTATATTTAGCTGCAGAAAAAAAAAAACAACACAGAAATATGATGAAAACAAATTACATATTTTCATAGTGAAATACTTGCAACTTTAGAAAAGACTCACTGTCTGAATGAAGTCAACCAAATTAATCCCAAAAACTCATGCACAAGTGTAAGTCAAAATGTTCTTAGACGAATGTTCTAATTTCAAAACATGCTAGGACACGTTCTCCCAGATTGGTCCGACAGCTTTGACTAGTTTTTTTTAATTACAGCTTTGTCAGATAAACTGTTTTTGTTTGATTCACTCAAGTTTACAATCCTCAAAAAAGTTCAAATTCAGTAAAAAAAAAAAAAAGCATGACATTTTAACCTAACTTTGATGATGTTTTTAGTAGCTGTGACTTTTATTCTGAGATTTATATACAGTCTATGGCTGCAAGAGGGCACTCTCTACACAACTGAAACTATAACAACTTTTTAAATTCAAACTATTCAAATAATACAAATGTCCGTACGTCTTCTAAGACTACATTAAAGAAATAAAAAAGGATAATATAGTATGAAACAGCTACCAAAATGAATGAATAAATACTTATTTTCTCACACTACATGCTACATTCATTCAGACAGTCAAACACTGGTAAACACATTAGCTCCATGGTGACAAACACAAAGTTGTTATTGCTGAAAAAAACCAAACAAAAAAACAAACAAAGCCAAAACATGATGAGCTACATGGAGAGGAAGGTTGTTTCCCTCCAGCTCTGGCAAAAAGTCAAACAGAAACACCTGATACGATGTTACATAAACTTTAAAACTTTTCCTGTGGCAACCAAACCCATAACAGCTGACGAGCTGATAGAGATCATCAGATAAAGATAGATGGTTGTTTGTTTGTTTATGCCATGAAAGAGATTCGGATAGGGGAAGGGGGGGGTGAGAGGAGCTGCATCTCACCCCGTGTTACCCTTCTGGGTTAAGAAGTAGTGATGATAAATAACCTACCTTTTCTACAGCTAAAGTTCAACACCTATTTTTGCTTCTTTTTTTTTTGTCTCTCTTTACTTTACCTTAGCCACCACACTCATACAGGGTGCCACTGTTTTGTAGTGTTCACAGCTAGCAGTTAGCCTGTTGGCATTGGACGTAGCCCAAACAGTTTTCCAGGAGAATAACCCTAATTATTGTCCCTAATAATAATAAACCCTAATAATTTGTGGAACAGGCTTCTACAGCAGCATTACAGGTGACTACAAACACAAATAGAGAGTTGAAAAGAAGTTTAAGCCGTTGAGTCTGTGACTATCGTCAGAGATGGCAGCCTAGCCCAAAATGTTCCACTCATGTTTTGTAACCATGTTAACAATGTTTCAAGAGTCAAGAGTCACTAAATAACCAGGAGAGATGTCAATATTTTACAGTATTCTGTCACGACCCACGTCAAGAGTCAACAAATAACCAGGAGAGATGTCAACATTTTACAGTATTCTGTCACGACCCACGCAAGTATCTGACCGTGCTGTAAAGCACCAGGTCATCTACACAAACAAATATTTTCCAGGCATGACAATTCCACACATGCCAAGGTGAGAATGCAATATTCTGGACAATAAAAGCGGTTTCCCTTTCCTGATGTGGACGGAAAGGACGTCTGTAGTGAAACAGTTACGCCGTCCGACGTTCTCAACAACAGGAAGCTCAGAGGAAACTGCAACTAACATCTGTCTCAGCAAAGGAATTCAGCCACAAACACTGAACACACCGTACAAAAACAAGCAGCTCAGGCAGACACACGTGCGCACCAACACTTCCCACCATGTCCCAATTCCTCTGTCTGGGGAAAGGACAAGCACATTAGGAGATGGACAGCCAGTCATGCATGTGCTCCTGATTATGATTAAAAACAATATCATCACAATTATGGACACGAACAAGCTGCCGACACATGCTAACACGGTCCTCAGGCACTCTTCTAATTCTCTCTGAACCACTGTCAACAACTGTGGTGCTGGGATTGAAAACGGAAGGTTCAAAGTCACTTTAGATAATAATTTCAAGAGTTTGAAGTGCTGTGTGTCAAAGGTGAAGAAACCACTGGTCAAATCAATAAAACACATCTAACAAAAATACTCCTTCTTTACTAGTGTATGTGTAGATGAAGCTGGTATAAATTAGCTTCACTACACTTCTCATATTTTCTGAGATCCAAACATCTGTAAATTTAAACCTAAAAAATTTGCATCTCTTCTAACAGCGCCCTCTGGGGAAAACATCCCCAGAGGGCGCTGTAAGAAGAGAGTGACCTTAAATGGTCTCTCTGTGTTTATCAGGACAAGATACTCAGGTTACATTGCTCTGCTGTTAGAGAGTTCAAATAAAAACGTGTACAGTTCTACAGAACCTGTGCTACGCCACTATTACTCAGAGGCACAAATACTGTCCTGACGGAACAGTCATCGGTTTGACACTCCCTGCTTCAGCACACACTGAGGCCACTGCTTGGAAATGACACGGTTCATACAAACAACTACTTCATGTGTGGGTGTAGGGAGTTCAGTGTTATTACTGTATCTCTAAGGCCACCGTGTGTCACGACAATTGTGTTTTTCATTCATACGATCGTGTCGTCATTTTGCATCAGCTTCAGTTTGATGCATATTAGCTCTTGCTCTCATGCTAACCGCCCTCATCTTTTACAACAAGTATAAGAAGATAGCAAATAAGCAGGTGGAATTACATAATCACGTGGGAGTACAAGTGAAGCATGAATATTGGACACAGAGCCAAGGCAAATCCTGGACCAACCTATCGAAAAAAAAAACAAAAAAAAATAATAATAATATCCTGGTGCCAAGTAGCTCCACAGCAGATCAGTCAAGGAGGCAAAGTCTATTTATTTGAGTCCCCATTTCTCATTTGTTCTTCATTAATTTTCTAGTTCATTATAAATACTAACCACAGACCTGAAGATATTTATCCAGGGTTGATTCACAAATAAAACCCAGAAGTCTCATTCATTTTTTAACAAGGTCTCTTAAAAAAAAAAAAAACATTTTCTCTAGACTAGTCATTATAAACCGAGAGAGAGAGACATCTGCTGCACCATTTACATTTACAGAACGCTCCAAAATAATTTTCTTTTTTAAACTGTGGATGTGAAATATATTTATTAATATTCATTCATTGGAAATGTTGGTTGATCATGTCCATGTTGTATTTTACTACACTATTAAAAGAGCAATCTGATCACAAAACAGAGTTGCAGATGGTGTGTATGCCATGGAAAACTTAGGTGATTGTCATCTGGATTGTCCAATAGGAGCTCAGTTACAGGTTATGGACTTTTTTTGGACTCATTTTCAAATCCAGAATGGCACAGATACAGTTACCATATCCTGGGGGTGGAATAAGGAACTAAGTTACAACAGAGCGTCTAGGTTATGTACCGTCTACAGAGACACCACTGGCCTGAGGCCAGCTTCTTTTTGGGACCTTTTCAGTGGTGACGGTGTTGGTGGTGAGGAGGAGGGGGAGGGATCAGATTTAAACTGTGCTCAGGGCGCTACACAGGCTGGTGGAGGATACATGCAGTGTGGCAGGGTGTTTATCTGGGCTGGTTTAGCTGCAGCTGGCCTGTGGCAGGAAGTGAC